TTGTTAGCGATCGTCTTATTGCTGCAATATTGTGACTTCAGAACACATTATTGCAGCAACCTGCACATTGGATTCATGATTAGCCTACAACAACACGACACAAAATGAGAAAATTTATGCATGTGAAACAAGCATGCAAATGCAAACGATTTCAACAGGTCTCTCACGTGTTGCCCCATATCCTTTAAGGTATTTTGTGGGAGCAAAGGAACTATCATTCCACCTTGAGAATAGCCGTCCATGGCTGCACGTTTGAAACATTTTCATTGTCTGATCCAAAGTCAAATGCAAACGATATTCAACAGGTCCTCACGTGTTGCCCAATCCTTTAAGTGTTTTTTGGGAGCAAATTTCCGGAAACCCAGACTTTGGGGGGGGTAGGAAATTAAGTTTTATCTGGGGGGGAAAAAGGCCAAAAAGGGCAACATGAATTTAAAACCCCCTTCCAGGTGCGAAAAGGAGATGGGTTCAGGGGGTTTTAAAAGGTCAAACTTTTTTGAGCTCTTTTAGGAAAGGGACCAGAACCCCTTATTCCCAAAAAGACTTTTTAAACCCCAAAACAAAATAAAAATTTTTCATGTGAAAAAACATAAATGAAACATTTGGGTTCCCCCGTTTGAATTTTAGGGTTTTTTGGAAAAGGAAACATTTCCCCCTTAGTGGTCAAGACCTGGGGCTGACGGTTTTAACGTTTTTGCTTGTTGCCCAAAAGTTTCCAACATTCTGTTTTTCCAATTGATTTGGGAAAATTTCTGAAAACTTGGTCCTTGGTAAGTTGACTAGGGGAAATTCTAACCCCCCACCATCTATTTCCCTTTATGTTTTTACAGCCGGCCAAAGACTTAAAAAGTGTGCAATAGATTTTTTAAGGGAATGAATTTTGTGACAGATTTTTCTTCATTTATTTTTAAGGCTTTTGAGAGTGACCAAGGATTTAAGGGTTTTGGGCATTTTTTTATCTCCCCCCGGGCGCCCCAAGGGGCAGCGCCATGTCTAAACTAAATCACCGGGGCCAAATAATATAGTTTTTTGTGTTAAACCAACTTTCCGGGGTTGGGATTTTATTGTAATTAAAAACTGAGAAGCACAGTTTTGATCCATCAACAAGCCCCTGATGTAGGTTTTTTTTAAGCCAAAATTTTCCCGATTCACATCTCCCCGTGTCCAATTTTTGGATTTTTTTAAAAAACGATTTAAAAAACCTGTTTTTTGGGGCTGCCATTTGTATTCATTTTTAAATAAAAAAATTCACTATTATGATTTCATGCCACTTTTTTTTATTAAGATATGAAAAAAAAAAACCCTTTAAAATTTTAAAAAAACCAGGGGGGGCTTCTAATTCCTTGCATGATATCAGTGCATGTTGTTTTGGCATGTCTTTGACTCAGTGTTCATGTAATGCTTTGGAACTTAAGACACATGGATGACTTGTTTTCAAATCAAGATTTTCATTTGCTAACTTGCTGCCTGCTGGAATTGCACAGCATTCACCTCCAAAAGTGCATTTGGAAAACACACACACATTCACAAACACACACAAACACACACACACACACACACAGTTGCCACAGCAACTGAACAGACTCTCACAATAGGTCTCCAAAACAAAGGAGGGCTTTTAGAGGCAGTAGTGCTTTATAATGTCAATAATTAGGATCAATTTGTTAAGTGCTAACAAACAAGTCAGCTCTCATAGAAAGAAACAACGGGGGTACACTTGGATGAAAACAGGCATATTTAAAGGTTGCCAAAAGCTGAGTGACATTTAGTGTGGGAGAGAGCCTTTTCTCTCACACCCATCACAAGTGGGTATAAGAGCTCATGTAGTCTTGGGCTGTGTTGATTTTCCTCATCAGCGCCCTTTTTCTTGTAGTGTCACATGAATTTGTAAAACGAGAGTCAAACGGCCACAGAGTTTAAGGATGGTACCCTGCATGTGCCTGCCTTGGCTTGAAAAGAAACAGTGTGAGCCATTTCTTTTACTTGATGGCCCTGAGAGCAAAGTGTTTTAGCTTCCTTCAAGTTTTTGCTTTTGCCATGAAAGTCAGCAGAATGACAGCAATCTTGCAGAGAAAAGAAAAATGGGGACAGGGAATAAAAATGACCTCCCCTCCTCCCCTCCTCCCCTAGGGCTTCAATCACATATGGTTAAGTTGCAGCTTGCTTTCTCTTATCTTTCCTTTCTCCAACCTCTGCATAAAAATATACAAAATGAGAGAAGATTTGGGGATTTGTTGGCCACCTGCAGAAGCTGTGTACTTCATTTGCTGCATGTTATCTTTTCAGAAGAACCAAGGAGATGTCCCTGTGTTAAAACAGTTCATATACAGATTACAGGCAGTGCAGAGTAGAGCAAATAACAATGTATTGGTTGTGTGGCAATATACTATGATTAGAACCTGTTTAGAGTAGTCAGGGCTTGACAGCCACAGGTAAATACACTGCTGGCAGAATTCTTGTCAACTGATCTATGATTGTGTTCAAAACAGCCACATACATACTAAGGGTAATGGTTTCAATGGCAGCAATAGAACTCCCCCCCACACACACACATACACACTCCCACTTACTTTCTCACAGCACTCCATTTTCATTAGTCATGCAAACAAATGGCCCTTCTGCCTTAAAGCACTTCTTCTATTTACATTTACACTTTAGTCATTTAGCAGACGCTCTTATCCAGAGCGACTTACAGTTAGTGAGTGCATACATTTTCATACATTCTATCTCTGCAGATCTCCTGTGAAGTCTTGAATCATTGTACAACTTCAACATAGATATGTTGTACACATTCCTAAGTGCACATCCCCAGAGAGAAACAGGAGTGTTTTTCACTGTGGTGTTAGTCCTGTTGGATACATGGTGTTATGCAAAGCACATCATCATCTCTCTGATGAGATGTGCCACTTGAAAACTGTGTATCACAGCACAACCAGACAGAGAGCACCTGATGGTAATTGAGCCCTTTCCCCTCTTCTCCATTTTACACCAATATGCATCTAAAATGTATAACAGCTGTTTCCATAACTACCAACTGCTTACACCTATGCTGCCTGCTTTTGCAGAAATGTTGTTGACAACAGCAAGATAGAGCGAGAGATAGAGCGAGAGAGGGGGAGTAGAGGGGAACTATAAAGAGAGAGAGAGGCTGTAAATGTGACAGCCGGACATTTTTCCTTTCTCTCCTCAGTCCTTGCCCCACTAGAAGCCCATTCATGGAGCTTCCGGCTGGTTACTGGGAGGCGGAGGGAGGAGAGAGCGCGAGAGACATACTCCCACACAAAGCATAGGTGTACCTCAGAGGTAGGGTAGAGGAAGGAGGCATTTGCAGAGTGAGATGGATGGGGAAAGGTATGATAGGGTCTAGCTTTGAAGGATGCAGGTGCACCACTACTGAGAAAACAAGGGAAGGAGGAGGCCATGCTGAAGTTTTGCATTCCAAGTTTTTTGGTATATCATTCTGCACTGGGTTGTACCTCCTGCTCCTCCACACACCCAGTAACTTAGCCAAGACTTTGAGCCCCCTTACAGACTTACTTATAATATTTTCAAATTCATTAATTACTCAGCATCATTTGGTGGATTAACAATGTTTCAGGGCTTCTTCGGACGTTAGTCACTAGCTCAAGAAGACTGGGCTACCATAGTGACACATGGCTGGAAGAAAATCCTTGCCCTGCATGCATGAGAAAGTTGTTGCTGAGCAACAGTCTTCTTTTCTCCTTATTCCCGCCTTAGCTCCAAAAACGCCCCCAACCCAAGTCACAACAACGCCTAGACAATGTGCAACCTCATCAAGTATAAAGTGCCACATGAAGAGTCCAGTAAAGGGACACTGATCTTGTGTGCTCTTTGCTACAGGGCCAGATAGGGTTATTCATATATGTGACTTGACAGATACAGGTGTAGGATCTTAATTTGAGCCAGTTTGCTACATAAGGAAAATAATCTTGCAGCAACAGGAAATGTGAATTATTATGTGGATTATAATTAATGGACATTTTTGTTGGGGTTGATCATTTTTTTGTAAGGGAAAATCAAGTCTGAAATTATAAAATGGGAATAACAAACTTCAGAAGCCTTTTTAAACCTCAAATACACTGCAAGATTACATTTCCTGCATTGCCATGGTACCCTTACTTCTCAGTTTCGTGGGCATTGCAGAGTATAAGTGACTATAAGCGTTGTCTGCTGTTCCCAATGGCAACGCGCCGGCACAGACGTCAGCCTGACGCACACTGGTTAGCGATTAACGGCACATTCCTGTGTGTGGGAGGAAACAGCGGAGAGAGAGAGAGAGAGAGAGAGAGAGAGAGAGAGAGAGAGAGAGAGAGAGAGAGAGAGAGAGAGAGAGAGAGAGAGAGAAAGAGATTTAGAGAGAGAGAGCGGAGGCTAGTCCGCTGCGAAGGACTGTAATTGCAGGTCCACACACTGTTATTATACTCTGGACCCTCAGTGCATTTGTTCAGTGGAGAGATCTGATGCTGCACAGAAATGCACAGTAATGCTAATCACAGGCTCAACACTCAAGTGGGGATAAATGTAATCAGAGGACCGGGATTTTTTGTATTTCACCTTTATTTATACAGGTATGTCAATTAAGTCAATTCAGACCAAATATGTATTAACAATGACAACCTGTGCAGGTTGCAATGAGTATAATCATGATATGAAAATCTAATATTAGTTAGTTCTGAAGAATTCCTGAATTCACCATTGGGCCGAGGCACCTATTGGTCGGTGCTGATCAGAGAGTTGTTACACTTAGTGACCTGTCATGTTTCTTTTTTTGTCTCCCCTTTATCCAACAGACACATCTTTGACACATGGCTGTCTGTCTGTCCCACTGAAGCCTTTGAGCCCCATCCAATTCCTCAGAGACTAAACCAACAAGGTCCAAGCAACTGAAGTCACATCGCAACTAATTACATAAATAGAGGAGAGAGAAAAGTGAAATCGATTTTAGTCCCCTCGAAACGTCCTCTCGAAGCGACCACACAATGACGTGGTCACCTCCCCAGTCCGGGCCCTTAGTGGCCCTTGTGGCCCTCCTTTTCCTCGGTTTGACTTCCAGCGTCCCATCCGGCCCGGCCTCTGATACCTGCGCCACCCTGGAGCAGAGCCGCTTCTTCGGGCTGTTCTCTTCGACTGCCAACCTGCCCTCCATGCCGTGCTCCTGGACCCTGCAGAACCCAGACCCTCGCCGCTACACCGTCTACATGAAGATCACCAAGCCCACCGACTCCTGCCTGCCCCGCCAGGTCAAGACCTTCCAGTTCGACTCCTTCATCGAGACCTCTCGCACCTACCTGGGTATGGAGAGCTTTGATGAAGTCGTCCGATTGTGCGACGCTTCAACGTCTGTAACCTACCTGGAGTCCAGCAAGCAGTTCCTGCAGCTCCGCAAGGTGGCGCCAAGACACGGCCTGGAGATTGTGGAGGGAGAGAGCAACGGTGAGTTCAAGGCCGAGTTCCTGGTGGTGGGCAAGAGGAACCCCAGTATGCCAGCCTGTCAGAAGCTGTGCCAGTGGCTGGATAATTGTTTGTCCACCAGCACCCATCCCAACCCCTGCGGCATCATGAACACCCCCTGCCAGTGCTGGGAGACCCCCGTCAGGAAGCCCGGCGGCTGCTACCGTGGAGGCGTCTACCTGGAGAAGTGCATCCCAACCCCCAGAGACACTGGACGTGACATTGTACGCGATGCCGAGATCATAAGTGAGTAGAGTTACCACTACCTAACCTGCTTATTGTGTTATGCTCAATGTCCATGACTCCACGTGTCTGTTTTTGTTATCCCAAAATCCCAAAAAGAGTGTAGAGTCTAGACTAGATCTCTGTCTAGATCTCCCCCCCCCCCCCCCCCCTTTTTGCTGATATAGAGAATGTGGGGTTCTGATGAAGATGTGCCTTTTGCTGCCCCAGTATCATAAGGCGTAAATGAAGGCTGTTTATTAAGAGACTGTGGGGCTCCTTAAGGGCTAAGTGGTCAGATCGCTCCAACTGCACAGAGTGTTACCTCGCCTTTTTGTTTTCTTGGATGGCAGACATGTTTACTGGCTCTTTGCTGGGGGATTGAGGGATGCAAGAGATACACACACACAGTGTACACAAAGCCCTCACAGTTAGCTGGCACAGGAAATAGAAGCCAAGCACTTGCAGTAACCATAGCAACGTGCCAGTCTTGCACACCATGCTTTCCAGGGTGCTGAAAAGCAAACAATCATTTCTAAATATGTTTTTTTATCTGGTATGGCTTCTCACAAAGAGCTGTCCTTGTGCATTTCTCAGCACCCTGACAGACACACTAATTACCCGTTTCCGGTTTTTACATTGAAATCCTTGAGAACACTTTACCTGAATAATCCATTTACACTGAACTGTAGCAATTTCTATATCTCAATTTCTGCGCAGTAAGACTTTGTTAGAATGAGCTGAGCTCCATCAGACTATTGACTCCACATCTACGTACCATTGTCATCCTCAAGAATTATGTCTCTGGACTTGTGTGTCATGTATCATGTATGCCATGTGCCTCTTCTCTTCTCTCCTGCAGAGAGCTGGAGTGGGTGGGGCCGCTGGTCTGAGTGCAGTATGGAGTGCGGGGGTGGAGTCCAGGTGCGCAGCCGAGCCTGTCAGCCAGACGATAGTGTGTGTGAAGGCGTGGTCGAAGAGGGGCGGGCCTGCAACCCTCAGCCCTGCATTGGTGAGTCTACCTGTCAATCTAGCTGTCCATCTGTTTTCTTGCCAGCCTGTAATGTCCAACCTACTGTCTATCTTTGTGTTGATCTGTTTGGAAGCAGCTTGAGTTTCAGCTCACTAATCATCTTTTACCTCCACAGGTCAAGTGCGAACCCGTAGCCAAGCTCTGGCTTCCATCGTCGGCCTAAAAAGAGACAACGCTGATGTTCCTACCACTGGAGTCCTTCACCCTCAAACAGGTGAGACACACGTTCTGTGGATAAAGGATAAAAAATCCAGTTTTGGGAATAGTTGGAGAGGTGTTTACAATAGTATAATAACTGGTATAATATGTCAAATTTAAGATACCGGTAGACCATTTGCAGTATGTGATGTATAACTTAGATCTACCATATAACAAGTGTTACGGCTGCCGGACCTTCAGTGCTGACTCTTTGACCCCTGACCTTTGTAGTGGACGCTGCTGCAGTTGCAGATGAGTGGTCCCCCTGGAGTGTGTGTTCAGTGAGCTGTGGAGAGGGCTGGCAGGCCCGCACCCGTTTCTGTGTTACCTCCTCCTACAGCACCCAATGCACTGGCCCCCTCCGCGAAAACCGCCCTTGCAACAACACCATGGTCTGCCCTGGTAAGTGGTGGCTCATTTACTGGGGCGTGTTTAGGGTGGTGTTTAGGGTGTGTATGTGTTTGTTTGTGTGTGTGTGTGCCTCTCGATAGGTTGGCAACTATGGTAAAGATCACAACTCCACCTAGTGGATAGCTCATGAAATTGTCCCCTCCCTGAACTCACAGTCCCTACAACTCAGCTAATTCATATTCATTTTGAGGACAAATAAAACATAACTGTAAAAATGTATGTTTGGTGACATGGGCTGAATTTTTCCTCTTGTTTTCAGTTGATGGAGCTTGGGACGAGTGGTCTCCATGGAGCCTGTGCTCGTCCACCTGCGGCCGTGGTTACCGTGACCGCACCCGCACCTGCAAGCAGCCCCAGAATGGAGGAGAACCTTGCAAGGGACCCATCAAACAGACCAAGTTCTGCAACATTGCAGTCTGCCCAGGTTAGCCTTATTGCTTACTTAATTATGATATATGCCATTTAGCAGACTCTTTTATCCAAAGCAACTTACAACAGTGAGTGCATACATTTAAGTATATGTGACCCTAGCGGGAATTGATCTCACGACCCTAGCAGGAATTGATCTCATGACCCTAGCGTCATACTCTTACCAACTCAGCCACACAGGACCACTTACTTACTCATCTTAATGAGTATATCTTTGTCAATGGGTTAGCCTTGAACCCCCTCACTGACCCCTGTGGGAGGAACTCTGACTGACTAAGGTACTTTCACTTTCAAGGCTTCTCTCTTCCCTCTTTCCTTCCTACCCTTCCTACCCATTCTGACACAGCTAAATGCTTTAGTAATGGTGGTTATCCGCGGAGTCAAATGTTGGTTTGGCATCACAACTGACGTACTGTATCTGCAGAACAAATGCCTGCAGGACTTAGTCATTGGCCATACAGGCAGTGAGTCATACACTCCTCACTCACACAAACATGTTGGAGCTTCAGTTCTCTCTCTGTTGATACATACACACCGCCCACTGACAGTACATAAATATTCAGTCCATCTGGTACTTAGATGTTTTTGTAAATATTATAACAATGGCTTTTCATTTGCAATTCCATTATTCACTTAGCACATAACTGATTTTCTGTCGCTCCTCAAAACAACTGAGTTGGTTAATTTAATGTGCCTGGCCATGTAGTTTTATACTGTGGACAGCAGATGGCAATATGCACCACCAAGAGATGACCGCTGTAAATGACTGTCATAACTTTGGGAAAATCTAATTTCTAAAGCGAATACATATTTCACCTGAATTTGAAGGGGTTTTGAGGACAAATCATCTTTAATAGTCTATTCAACCCAATAATAAAATACTTACTTTGGCTTCCAAAAGAAACATTTGGGAATAGCCAGACTCTCTAAAATGTAATTAACCATTTTTGTCTCTTTATCCATTAATAATGATTGATTCCATTTCTGACTAATTGTCTTGCCCTTTGGAAGACTGTTATCTTAGAAATGAAATTCATGACATTTTAAGATCACTTTTATTTTTATTTCAAACTGCCTTGTCATGTATTTTCACCAGGTCAATTTCCCTCCTTGCCCACCCAAGAATAGACAAAGAGGACAGTGCTTAGAGCAGCATTAAAAGTATAGTGTTGCACTGAATCAAGTCCCCCATCCATTCCCATTAGAACAAAAGACTGGGCTTGGCAGTGAGAAAAAAAGGTTCCTGCTCACCCGTGTAGGCTGAAGGGCTCACTTAATGAGGTGGAACTCTGGGAGCGATGGAATGCGATGTCCTCCAGAGACTCCAAATTAGGCCTGCCATCCTGTGTTGGGAAACATTGACTGTGTCCCAAATGGCACCCTATTCCCTATATAGTGCACTAATTTTGACCAGTGCCCATAGGATAGCTATAGTGCTCTGGTCAAAAGTAGTGCACTATTTAGGGAATAGGGTGCCATTTGGGACGCATTCATTAGAAAAATAGGCCCATCATCTTTCTTCCCATACGACCTGCATTGAGCGAGCAGCCATTTTTCTTCCTTAAAATACAGTACACTTGATGATGTTCTTATGCGCCAACAACTGGAGGTTTTGTGTGTCGTTTGAGGAAGGCAATTGGTATGAGAGCCTTTTAGAGTTAGAGACAACTGCAGTGGTGCATGAAGGACAAAACAGAACAGAGTTTGGGCCTTCACTGCTACTCAGTCTCAAAGTAGGACATGTTAAAATGTTAATAGCATCACTGTGCCATGATGATTACTATAATGGCCCGAGGTTTGATGGTGTCCTAATACTCCACCTCCCTCTCTGGTTCCCTCTAGTGGATGGTGCCTGGAACGAATGGTCCGGTTGGACCACCTGCTCAGTCTCTTGCTCCAATGGCACCAAGCAGAGAACACGTGAATGCAACGGACCGTCCTATGGAGGCTCGGAGTGCCGTGGTGATTGGCGTGAGACCAACAACTGTTTCCTGAAAGATTGCCCAGGTAGTTTGAAATGGAAATCTCTTTTGTCATAATAACTTGTCAAGTAACCAGTTCCAGGGGGGGGGGAAGGGGGAGGAGGGAGGGTGAGGGTGGGGGGTAACAGGGCCCTTATTAAAGGCTGGTTTTGGGAGGGGGAAAGGCAGGACCGGGGGGGGGAAAAAGGGAAGGGTTTTGAAACCTAATTTTAAGGGAATGGGGGGAAAAAGGGGGCTGGGGGGTTTGGGGAAAAAAAGGGCCCATAAATGATAAACAAAAAGGTGACTGTGGGGGAAAAACCGGGCAAACCCCAAAAATGTTTCAAAACCAATTGGAAGAAAACCCCCTTTTATAAGAAAAAGAGCCAAACCCCCCTTTTTTTCCGAAAAAGATCGTCGGGGGAACCAAAGGCGATTTTTGGGGGAAAAAAACCCCCCCCAGGGTTCCCACCTTACAATCCCAACTTACATTTAAAACCAACAATTTTTCTTTGATTCAACAACAAGATGTACATCCCATTCTTCTGCCCCGACCCACCCAAAAGGGTTGGCGAGAACCGGCGGGGTTTGTTTTGGGAGAAACCCCACAAGGATCTCCGAACTCCAGACTTTTCCAAATTCATACGAAAAAGTTGGAATTATCCTAAAAACCCCTTATTAATTTTTTCTATGTTATCACCCTTGTATATCCTTGCAAAATTAAATGTTGCCCCAAAGTTATCTCAACCCTTGGTGGGTTCTTTTGGGGAAACCAATTGATCTCAAAAACACATTCCGTTGATTTCCCCCAGGGCCAAAAAGGAGTTTTTTAGTTACCTAACAAACCTGTTGATCTTATTTTTCCCACAATTGTTATAACCCAAAACCTTGGGGTTTGGGGTTCCCCATACCACCTTAGAGGGGCCAATACAGGGGGATCCCTTGGATTTTCAGGCAAAACACACTCCAAAAGCCTAAATTTATTACCAGCAGGAAAAACGGTGTTTTAATTAAACAATTAAAAAACTTTTTGGTTCCCACCCCCCCCCAAGGAAAACATTATTTTTAAAGCCCAAAAACTCCTCCAGCAAAGTATGATTTAGTCTTTAGTCTAACACCTATCGCTAATATCTCCTTCTCTACAGAACTATGCCCAGACAATCAGCAACTTACTGAAGGAGGAACATCATGGCAAATGGGAGGAGGCACAGCTGGTGAGTGACAAGTTCTGACAACAGTGTATTTATGCAATGCGACATATTAATAGGTGTGAGTGGATGTTTGTATGACTGTGTAACTGAGAAAAAGAGTGGAGGAGAACATTTTTCTTCCTTTGTCAGGTTTTTGTAACTGTAAGTGTGAGAGATGGAGTGGAGGAGAAAGTTTGGTCTGTGTAAGTGTGTAAGTGTGAGAGCGAATGGGGGAAAAGTGGTAACTGGTGGTACCTCATTATCACCCCAAAAAACCCATTCAGTTCCCTACCAAAGAATAGACACCATAGGAAGAACAGGACACTCAGGGAAAGAATTGGCTAAAATGTGAGAATATTGATTAAGAAAAGAACATGTGTCATATCAATCCACACCCCCTTGACTTCCGTCACACCATCCCATACTAAAGATAGTGTTAGGAGCATGTTTCCCATTAAACAAGGATAGCACACCACCATACTATCTGTCTCATGTGTGTCTCACATGGACCATTACGAATAGGTTAACTGTGGCCCCCAGCCTCATGGATATGATTACTCAGGTTGTTATTGTAATAGAGAATGTTCTCAATGACCTACTTGGTTAGAGAAAGGTAATACATATATTAGTATGGAAAACTCAAGTCACTAATCAAAAGGCCCCACTTTCAGGGAATAACAATTTGCGTGTCAAATTGAAGATGAACTGATTATGAACTAACAGTGTGTCAGTTAGGAGAAAATTAAAGCTTGGGGTAGAGAGAAAGAGCAAGGCAGGCAGGGAGAATCTCAACGCCCACTCTCCAATCTGTGCGTCTCCATACCAACCCACAGACCATGGTAGTTGTAAAGAAGGGACACATACACAGACACTGTACATTGTACAATATGTATCACACAGATGTACACACCTTTCGCCCACGTCGCAATTGTTCTGCGTCAGAGAGACGCAAGAGCCCTCCCTCCCTTCCACAGAGAACAGAGAGAAAAAGAGGAGAGTGAATCAGCAGCCTGCTGCCTGATGCCCATGTATGGCCCTCCGGAAGTTAGGAGGTTCCACTGTGGATAATAGTGCTTTTCACTGCTCAGGGACATTAGTATTGTGAAAGAATGAAACAGAGCATGAAAGGCATTACATATACAGTGCAGTATTAGGCCTATACATTCATTGTTCCTCTATATGCGCAGCTTAGATAAGCAATGCTAATACCCTCTATGAAAAACGAATAGTCTCCCAGCCGGCAAAACTGGCGTTGTAATAATGACGCAATTTCAACCAGATAACAACCAGTTCTGGTTGTAAATGGGTTGTAATGACGTTAATTCAACCAACTTCAAACAATCCCTGGATGTTTAGGATTTTCTTTTATATTAATTGATGGTCTCCCCTCCTCCCTTATTCCTTCTCTCTCTCTCCCTCCCTCCATCGGTCTCTCCTCTAGATGGGCGCTAACGTCAAGGAGTTCTTGCAGCTCGTCGAGAACTTTGTGGACATGATCGGTATGCAGATGAAGGACTTCCAAGACATTTATGAAGTCACAGAGAATTTAGGTAAGCCACACATGTCCCCTGCCAGCCGCTCTCTGCTCTTACCACCCCAAGATAAGAATGATTTGTCTTTACCTTTATCCGGCCACAGAGTGCATCAATCTTAACCATGTCACAAGAGAAGTTCTAGATTAGCAGGGAAAATCCATCTGTTATCACTATGACATTTTGGCAGGCCAATTAGTAGCTATCCATCTTCAAGATAGCACAGAACCATAGCATCTGAAATATGTCAAAAATCTAATCAAATCAAATGTTATTTGTCACATGCTTCATAGACAACAAGTGTAGCCTAACAGTGAAATGCTTACTTTCGGGTCCATTTTCAACAATGCAGATTTAAAGATACGATTAATATATATATATATATATATATATATATATATATATATATATATATATATATATATATATATATATAGAAACAGTGACGCGAGGTATAAATACACAGTGAATAACAAATAAAAATGAAGAGTAAAAATAACATGGCTATGTACAGGGAGTACCAGTACCGAGTCGATGTGCAGGGGTACGAGGTAATGTTTAGCTAGATGCAAAGATGCAAAGATTAACCCCATCCTGCATGTTACCAATTACGTGGGATGAAGCTAGAAGCAGATTGGGTTTTACATAAGCTCTCAGAAAAGACACATACTGTCCAAACTGTAGAACTCACGCTTATTTTTCTCATTGCGACAGCAATTTCTTACCATGTTGTCTTGGCTATAGCAAAGGTGACATTCACGATCTCAGTTCACACAGGATTCAGCAGCAACTCCTCCAGACAGTTAAAGACATGACGCATGACGTATGAAGCCATAGCTGTCCTTGGCTCCGCTTGTTCAGAGTTCAATGAAATGATTCTTCACTTACCAGACCCTAATGGAGTCAAAGTATCCTATACACACCTAATATCTATTTTTCTCCTCTACAGTGTTGAGCATCCATAAGCGCCCCACAACCATGACCACCGACTTCACCTTCCCAGTGAAAGGATGGAGAGGCATGATGGACTGGGTCAGGACCTCAGAGGAGAAGATCACTGTCTCCCGCGACGCTCTGTCCATCGACCAGTCTGGTGAGAATGGCATTGATACTGTAGTTAAAGAGTGTACATTCACAACCACTGATGCATACATTGTACAGCTAGTCTACAGATATACATGCATGTATTTATTTGTTTAAGGAAACAGATAGAAGACAGTAAAACAAACAATTCTACCAACTTAAAAAGTCTCAAAAGCTCTTGTCTGTTCCTGTTGACATCTACCATTTTCTTCTCTCCTAGTGAAACAGTGGAATATAATAATAATTGTGGGTTTTGTCTGTTACAGAGGGCACCACTGCATTTGTGACCGGGATCATTCTCTACAGAAACCTCAGCTCTATCCTGTCCTTCCAAAGGTAGCCTTTCTTACTGAATGACTGATACTGTATACCAGCTCACTTTTACAGTGCCTTCTAGATATACCGTACCTTGAGGAAGGTAGACTGTCCTCAATTGAAACCTAAATGGGGCTAGGACTCAGTGATTTACAGACATATGGTTACTCACTGTAAAAAAACAACTACATTAAAATCATTTTAGCATTCCCCTGAAGTAGCCAGCCATTCATTGCCAATTAATCAAATACCGGAAACAAACCTACAATACTTTTACAAAACTGTGCTTTTATTTGACCAAATGTCCTGTCTCTTCTCCCCTCAGTAACAGCACCGTCCTCAACTCCAAGGTAGTCACGGTTATGGTCAAGCCCACCCCAGGCCTGCTGTCCTCCCCAGTGGAAATCGAGTTCCCCCACCAACATAATGTAAGTTTCCATTGGATAATGGCCCTTTAGAACTACAAGTCCACTAGGGGTATTGTCGTTTTTTTTTTAACAAGCATCCTACATTTGACATTTACTGTACACTCTACTGACATTTGCAGTGCCACTATGACTTTTTTCATATTTTTGATCTTTAAACCACAAACTTCACAGCTATACAGTACATTAAGTTGCATGAATAAACCTGTGCCATTATGGTATTGAGGAGTGGCATTTTTTAGTCCAGTAGGTGAAGTTAGCGTGAAAGGAACGTGTGATGGTGGTTAGCACCATGCTGTTGCATCTCACACATATGGTGGTAGATGGAGGACTCCAACTGTGCACCCTATGCCTTTCCTTTTTCTTAGATCCTTACCCCGCCTTTTCTCTTTTTCCAGGACACCATAAATGAAACTTGCATCTCCTGGGATGAGAGCGAAACGTAAGTGGTGACTAATGTTGTTTACATCCTGTTTGTGTATTTCCATTCATAAATGTCCATATTTTCATCATTTTGTCAACCCATTTGGTGATAGCTGATTATTCCTGCAAGCTCAAAGATTCATTCACTCCTGCTTCTATCACTTTATATGAGCGTTCACCCTTTAGCTATATAAGTCACTGTGATGCAGTAGTGTTGCATCTCTTGTAATGTCAATCATCTCTACTAGCAGGGACAGAGCATCAGTAGATCATGTTGACATGACCCATCCGCCTGGGCTTTATGGGTAGCAGTCTCTCTCATCCTCAGAGTCCCCTGTGACACCTTTCACTGATCAACAGGTCATCTGGATCCACAGAGGCAACATTGATGTAAAGTTTAATTTTAATAATCCAAAGACAATGGCAACTCTTCTTCTCCCATCTTTCCCGTGTCCATTTTGTTAACAGAGGTCAACAGGAAGTGACACATGGACGTTTAAAAAAATGTCTACATGCATTTTAATGCATTATGAATACCCCACGTCGTTCTGTTTACCCCCAGCTCTGGATCTATCACTGTGGGGCTTAGGGTGCATGCATCCTAAATGGCACTCTATTCCCTATATAGCACACTACTTTTGGCCAGAGCTCCACAGGGACTATAGGGAATAGGCTGCCATTTTGGAGGCAGCCAGCCCAACATTTGCATTTAGATAGATTTGTACACTTGTGGATCACAGATAAGCACAGCAATGCATTCAACTGAGGCCCTATCCGCCTCCGAATCCCTTCCCACCTGAGAAAAGCAAACCAAGTCGAAAGAGAGAAGAATAAATAAAGAGGAAGAGGAGAAAATGTAATCAACTCCTACACTTTCAGAAGGGAGGGGGGTAGGAGAAGGGAGGGGGTATGTGCCTCCAGCTAAATTAGATTCATTTTGGACAGCAGATGTGATTAATGCCTAGATGGAGGTAGGAGAGGGGGGAACGGGAGAGAGGGAGAGAGGGAGAAGCCCTGGATCAGATATTGGGTCAATGTTTACTCTGTGGAGCAGCACTTGTTTGGTTTTGAGGCAGGCTCACGGGGAGGATGTCATTATTCTACATGTCCATCCACGCCCAACTGTCTATGCTATGCTATAGACACACAGATTTAGGCCTAGCGCTAAGCTAGGCTAGTCTAGAATCAGTGTTCACCTCTCAGTGAGATGCTATTAGCATTAGATATTAGACATAAGACTCATTCCAAGCTAACCTACTCTGTCTGATCCCTATTCGAAGCTACACAGTCAGATATTTACAGTTAAACAAACCTTTCCAAGGAACAATGCCTCCTAGTCTACCCTATACTTCACCTTACAACTTCTAACCCATCTGAGCGATCTGAGAAATCTAACAGGCAAGCAGGTATTTAACTGAACTGGCAGCAAAGCAAAGCCTTCTCTCCCAGATGACTTTCCTGTTGACTTCCTACTAGTGACTACTGCAATTTCCCCCTAGCCTCCCTGCTATACATGACAGTGTGTGGGCTTATATCTGGGTAGGAGGCTGGCTGGTGGTTGTGTTCTATTTTCACAGAATCACAGCTTTTCACTCCCTTTTCTCCCCCTGACACTCACAACATGTGAAACACTGTGAGGTGGCAGCATCTGCTGCTGCACAGTGCAGCCAGATCACTTTACCCCCATGTGTCATAGCAAGGATTTTTTTCACAGAATATGTGACGCCCTTGTGTCTCATCCCTCATGCTTCCATGATGAGGAAAAGGGATGGTTTCTGTCTGAGATTGCTGATTACAATGTCTTTTAGTGGTCATTGATGACAAGACATTGCCCTTTGTCTCAATACCTAAAACTGGATATTCTTGGATGAAAATCCATAGTGGCCATCTTAACTGAGAGTTAAAAGCATACACCATAGATATTCAAAAGGTTTAGAGAAGACCCTATGTCAGTCATATAGAGGTCATGCGGTGAAGCGATTCCCGTGCCCACACCGTAAGGTTTAGCAGAAAGGCACAAATGAAATCCTTTCTCATCCACAGAAATCCACTCATATTTCTTATTTTACTCATACATTTGAGAAAGTGCTAGAAGAAATGGATTCTCTTTTACAATCTCCTCTTTCAGTATATTGACTATAGGCTTGTTGGGGTTCTCCAGTATCCACCATCTCATGTCTACTACTGCTTGGGAAAGATGGTCAAATAATATAATTTAGACAGATCATATTTTATGTTTTTGGTATAGCATTAGCAACAATAAAGTGTTCATCCCATAGCAGTATGAAAAATGTATGCACTCACTAACTGTAAGTCGCTCTGGATAAGAGCGTCTGCTAAATGACTAAAATGTAAATGTAATAGCAGGGCCACCATTTCAGGTGTTAGAACTACATTTACAGAATGAGACATACATTTACATTTACGTCATTTAGCAGACGCTCTTATCCAGAGCGACTTACAAATTGGTGCATTCACCTTATAGCCAGTGGGATCACCTCATAGTCACTCATAGTCACTCATTATAACAAAACCGTTTGTCTTGTGAAAACAACAGGTTTATTCTTCTATCATTACAGTGTAATAAGAACTTAGATTTGGAGAAAACTCACACACATATCACATATCATATCAATCAAGTATCAGAAACATAAATTCCCATGGTAGAGCATAGCACTTGCAACGCGGGGGTTGTGGGTTCGATTCCCACGGGGGACCAGTATGAACAATGTATGCACTACTGTAAGTCGCTCTGGATAAGAGCGTCTGCTAAATGACTAAAATGTCAAATGTACATTTCAAATTACCATGCAAAACTGAAAGACCTGTGATTTGCTACTACAAATGTTCTGGGCATAGTTTATGAGGTCTTATTGTAGTATACAATGACAAATGATTGGGATGGAGAGGTTGATTTGAAGTATTTCTCAGAGAATTGTTTCCTCACTCATACATAACCCGCACTTCTCTTTCACTCTTGCCCTGTGCAGTTCTTCGCTGCTTGGATCTTGGTCTGCGCGTAGCTGCAGAGCGGTCGCCGTTGATTCATTCAGAACCAAATGCGTGTGTGACAGGCTCTCCACCTTCGCCATTTTAGCGCGTCTTAACCCTGATATGGTAAGTGTTGCGCCTATTTACCGTGTGTTTCTTTAATGTTAATGTTCGTTATGTGTGATGATAGAATGAAATGTAAACGTAGGCGTTGTTTTTCGAATGGCTCGGTTTCGCGCTGCCAGCTTCTCCCTCTTTGTCTCTGTGCAGGCTCCATTGACCATAGGTTTGATAGACTGGTGATTTTAATGGTCAGATAAATAACTGTGCAACATGTTGACATCCGATAGAAATGGCATTCAATATGTATCAAAATAACTGTCGAATAATGGTGATAATAGGCCTAATCGTTACATTTTAAATATGGTTTTCAATACATTTTCTTATTTAATTTGTGCAAATGACATATGCCCGTGTGTGCATTAATAATCGGAGGCAATTCTGTGTAATTCTTATCAATTGAATGAAATAAAATAGTTAAATTAATGTTTAAATACAAAAGCTAAATGTTTTAATTGTAGCCTACAAATAGAGTGAATAGCTACAGGCGTCACCTGAAAAATGTATATGGGATTCAGGCACTTAGGCTTATTAATCATATCAGAATTTGTTCTACATATCAGAAATGTGTTTCCATTTATTATTTCATGCATTTTGCGTATTGAAATTCATAGGGAGTTGCATTTCATAGTTTTCACAGCATGCATTGACTTGGTGGAAAAATATACTTTGATTAGTGTATTCATTCTATCAATATGTATAGAGCTCTATTGCGCAAAAACCATGTGTAATTTACCCCGTTTAGATTTTGCCTCCATAGCAGTTCACTCTCTAGTTGCCCTGGTAACGACTTCTGTGGTGCAAGCTCATCTGTGTGATTTTTGGTAACTGAGATATTGTATGCTTGGACTGCATGATTCTGCTGTATCCAGCGGAAGATCCTGCCAATCTGAACATAAGAGATGCAATCTGTGCTTTGTTTGTCTCTAGACCTGTTGTCATCATTTGATTTGTCTCTGTTGCCAGTCTGGAAAAGGATAAGACAGCTACAGCGCCCCCTGTGTTTGTGAGACAACAGCAAAAACCAGCCACCCCTACCCACCCCCCCATAGTCAACGGCCAGCTACGCCAATCATTTTGTCTGCCAATACCTCTGAATCCATCACCCCCCCCCCCCCCCCCCCCCCCCCCCCCCCCCCCTCCCCCTCTGAATAATGGCAAAAAGACGCTGGCCAATGAGAGGCAGACGTCTGGTTGTGCACTGATGGTTCCACCCGCCCCACCATCCTTTGATGTGTACTGTAGACATTTTCAATACTGTCCCTCCGCCTGCCAGCTGTATGGGAGAGGAGAAAGAACAGCCAGACACTGCAGTGTTTCAGCTCTCATTTGATAAGGTCTGCTTCCTGGACCCTGCACCAATGAGAACGTGTCTTGGACACATAGTCAAAGAGGCAGGATTGGCCCACCTAGTTAGTCAGTGAAGATAACCTTGACCAATGGCCACCGATTAGAGCGGTGCGCACTGGGTAATCAAGCCTTATCACAAATGAAAATGTGCACTTAATAGGCACCATAAAGGACTTTTTCTTTCTTCCGTCCAGATTCTATGTTTAGGAGAAAATGGGAACATTGGGATTCTTCAAGGGCAAAATCAAGACATGGCTCATTTTTAGGTCAAACTCGTAGGCTGAATTACAGTTTCATTCAGTAGCCCATGGCGAAAGGCTGCATCAACCCAGATAGACAGATAAATAGGGAGGGAGATAGTGAAGCTAGCATATTGCTGCCACAGTTATTTTTCTCCCTGGCATTAGCAAAAGGTGGAAGCAAAAGGCAGTTCAGCTCACCCCTTCGCTATCTGCCATCTGGTTTGGGAGCCTCTGATGTAGTTGGATAGATTTCGAAACAAATCTGCTGTGCTAATTTAGTATTTGGCTGCCGTAGGCCCGTGTTTGCCAGCTGTGCTGTGATATGAGGTAGGTCCTCGCAGAGAGCAGATAGCGACAGAGACAGCCCTCCAAGGCACTGCATTCATCCCCATTTTAGCCTCTCAGACATTATCTGCAATGCCAAAGCGATGTGGCACTTTGTATTTTGTATGCTATAGACACAACATTTTATGGGTTAATCATAAATGGAGAGCCAAGCTAATTACATTTTGGTCAGTGATATCCGGGATCCTTGGGATCCTTGTCCCTACCCTAAACTCTAACCTTAATCTCAACCCTTACCCACCCTAACCATAACCCTTACCTAACCCTAACCTTAACCCTTACCTTAACCATTTTACATTTTAACTTCAAAGGGACGTCCCAAGGATCCCAGATAGCCTATTTTTTTTTATTCCTCAGTATTTAGCTCGCTCCTTAGCCTTTTCCCACCTCTTTATAAGTGCCACAATTCCTAACCCCTATCAAAATGCCTAATTAGACTCTTCGACTATGAAGGCTTTCACCTTGGGTGCCTGAACATGATTTGTCCGCGTCTCATTTGCACCACAGTGATGCAGATTAATCTAAGGTGTTAAATTAACTCAAGCCCCACAAAAGATATCAAGGCAGGGGGATGGTAGGCGAGGCAATAAGCCCCAGCCAGTTAGCTGGTGGGTGTGGGTGGGGGGCACTGGGTCCCTCTCATCAGTATTGGTGCCCTCGTGGCCCCACAGGTGAGTCAGCAGCAGGGCTAACAAGGGCGCGACATCCTCTCCCATGTGCCCGCCACTGAGAGTTCAGTGTGCCAGGGCTGTCTGAGACAAAGGCGGGCACCTCCGATGGCACTAGCAGGGCACCAAGCTGCTGTCAGAGACATGGCAGGGCAGGGGGTGGCAGATTAATGCACAGGTGATAAGAGCCCACCTGTCCACTGCAGAGAGGGGTGAGAAGATATTGGGTACACACACAGACAGTAGAAATCCCCTCATAGAAAGGCACAACGGCATATAAATCTATGCAGATATCAGCTTGTAAGGTTGGGTGGTGATACGTAGAAGGTTACTACTGCAGCTATAGCCACCGCTGTCGCACCACAATGGCAGGAGAAAATAACAGCAAGCCTAACTGAAACACCCGGGATATTTCTCTCTCTCTCTCTCTCTCTCTCTCTCTCTCTCTCTCTCTCTCTCTCTCTCTCTCTCTCTCTCTCTCTCTCTCTCTCTCTCTCTCTCTCTCTCTCTCTCTCTCTCTCTCTCTCTCTCTCTCACCTTCTGCTTACTAGCGGGAGATATATGTTATGTATCCTCCTCGCCTCATTTGCTGGTTCAAAAGCTCAATGGGGAAACGCAGTGACCTCGGCCGAGTCTCTGGCTCGCCGCTCCATCTTACTGACACGTTCACCTTGGGGTCACCTTGCCTTAGTCGTGGCCTAATTGTGCCATTCAGCTGTCTGCCTTCAGGGAGCCGTCTGCTGTTCCAGATAGCGCAGCAGAGAACAGACCCACAAGGCTCACTGCTAGTGTGTGTGTGTGTGTGTCATTGTACATTTTCTGGTGTTAGCCTTTTTCATGTGTGTGTGTTTGCTGGTGTGCACCGTACTAAGGGAATGCATTGTGTTGTCTTGTCTCCTCTCTACAGAACATGGATAAGACTCTGCTTCCCTCTGTGACGCTCATCGTCGGCTGTGGGGTCTCGTCTCTCACCCTTCTGCTCCTCATCATCATCTATGTCTCCGTCTGGAAGTAAGTGCCCCCTGGAAGCAAAACCACTATTAGACATTTCAGTAGTATCGTATGTCTTTGTGTGCGCAACACGCTTTGTCTTCCCCCCGTCCTCACTCTCCTTTTCGTCCTCCAGGTATATCCGCTCGGAGCGCTCAGTGATCCTCATCAACTTCTGCCTCTCCATTATCTGCTCCAATGCCCTCATTCTGGTTGGACAAACCCAGGCTCGCAACAAGGTAGGGCACAATTCTAACCAACCCCCTCTCTTCTTTTTCTTCTTCTCTATGGCTTAGACTGACTTCCTGCTTTGAGGCCTTGGAGATTAACCGCACCACTGACACCGTTTTTCTCTCACTCTCTTTCTCTCTTTCCCTCCTTCCTTCAGGTGGTGTGTGGAGTGGTGGCTGCCCTCCTTCACTTCTTCTTCCTCTCATCTTTCTGCTGGGTGCTGACGGAAGCATGGCAGTCCTACATGGCTGTCACAGGCCGTCTGCGCAACCGCATTATCCGCAAGCGTTTCCTCTGCTTGGGCTGGGGTACGTGCCCTAATAAATGGCTTTCTGTCTGTCTGTCACTGTGTCCATAGAAATATAGAAACACTATTTCTGTCCGTAGAAATATAATTGCTAGAATGGGCATCCCCATTCAAAGAGTAATTAAAGTCATTATATTTGTATGAGTCTGTCACTGTGTCTATGTGTCTGTATTTCCTCTTCCAGACTTCACCTAATTCCAACCATCTTTGGACATTCTAACTGCATGTCTTCCTCTATTTCTGCCATTTTGTCTTCTCGTTCAATCCTAACTATGTTCCTTCTCTCTCTCGCTCTCTTATAGGACTCCCTGCTCTGGTGGTGGCTGTGTCTGTTGGATTTACCAAGGCTAAGGGATATGGCACCGTCAACTAGTAAGTTTAACCTCAATCTGTCTCTTCCTCCTCACCTCTCTCTCTCTCTTTCTTCTAGCTCCCTCTCTCTCTAACTCCCTTACCCTAGCTCATGTAATAATTGTTCTTGTTCTGTCTGTTCCCTGTAGCTGCTGGCTCTCTCTGGAGGGTGGACTCCTCTACTCATTCGTTGGACCCGCTGCTGCTGTTGTTCTGGTATATATCCCTGTATATCAAAAATAAATAAAAAAACATTCAAATACTTTTTAATGAATGCTTTACCTTACATTCTCTTATGACATATAGTAGTTAAACCAATTGCTAACCATTGATAAACATATTGTTAACCATAGTTAAACCCATTGCTCACTACAATTGTTCCACTCATTGTGTCTTTAACTTCTTTTGAACAGGTGAACATGGTAATTGGTATCCTAGTCTTCAACAAACTGGTGTCCAAGGACGGCATCACCGATGTCAAACTGAAGGAGCGAGCGGGAGCATCACTGTGGAGCTCCTGTGTGATTCTGCCCCTGCTGGCCCTCACCTGGATGTCCGCTGTCCTGGCCATGACCGACCGCCGCTCCGCTCTCTTCCAGATTCTCTTCGCTGTCTTTGACTCCCTGGAAGGGTTCATCATCGTCATGGTGCACTGCATCCTGCGTAGAGAGGTAAGCACAACGTTTTCAAGTCGGACGTTTATTATTTTCCTATGTTTTGGTTTGTATTGAAGGGTGTTCTGAAAGGGTATATCAGAATGTAGCTGACTGTTTGGTCATTTCGCCACTGTTCTAATAGGTCCAAGAGGCAGTGAAATGCAGAGTTGTTGACCGTAAGGACGATGGCAATGGAGATTCTGGCAGTTCCCTCCGTAATAACCACCACACCCAGCTCATGGTGAGTGTCTTTGGTTATGCTTATAATGTCTTGAATTAAATTGTTATGAATGATTGAGTCTTGTGTTTTCAATGTAAAAGTGTTATATAAATAAACTATTGATCAGTACTAATAAAACCATATCTTTGTATTTTTTTTTGCAGTCTGATTTCGAGAAGGATGCTGACTCCAACAGACTTGGTGAGCCTCTTTCCTTTCATTAGCCCCTTAACCATTTTTCCATTCACATACTTAAATGCCCTTTCATTCCTGGAGGGCATAGGGCCTTTATTTGTCCATTTAGAATGAAGATATTTTAGAGGCATGTTGTTACTTAAGGAAAACATTTCAGCACAGCCTTTGATTTAATCTTTCAATCAATGTGAATCAACAGAAATGCCCAGCATGATTGTACTGTAAGTGCACTCTCTTACCTATTTGCCCCCACCCCTTCCCTCCTCCCTATTCTAGGTGGTATGAGCTCCTCCTGTGAGGAGAAGATGCCCCTCCCACCTCAGCTGCCCCTCCCCATGAGCTCCAACTTCCACACCCTGCCCTCCCATACCACCAAGGCCCACATGCAGGCTGTGCCCGAGTACTCCAGCCACACCCTCACCCTGAAGAGGGAGAAGAGCCGGCTGCATGGCGGCATGGACCCATCCTCCTGCGGGAAACCCGTCTATGTGTGCGACGGCGAGCTCTTCCAGCAGCTGGATGCCAACCTGGCGCGTGGCCAGGTGGAGGGGAGCTGCCCCGACGGTAGTGGCTACTTGCTCCTGCCCAACACCACCTCTACCCTTCGCAAGGCGAAAGATGACCCGTCCAAGTACAACATCAGCGTGGAGCAGCTTCCACAGACCAGGCTGGTTCATCTCAGCGGACCCTTCGCTGAACCCCAGGCCACTTTCGGACTCAAGGCACTACCATCCGACCGGGTCAGCGTGTCCTACTCGGAGAGGGACTCTCCCATCCAGAACATCCACAACATGTCCAGCGAGTCTCATATCACCCACAGCAGCCTGGGAGACACCTTCGACTCAATGAACTCCATGATGTCCAAGAGCGAGACCATCTCCACACTGTCCATGAGCTCCCTGGAGAGACAGAAGTCCCGTTATGCTGAATTAGATTTTGAGGTATGTATCTTAATGTAACCAACAAAACGTTATTATATAACAAATACTGTATTATCATGTTAATAACACATCTATAAACTTGTAATAAACATGTAATAACTTCAAAGAGTAACATTTAAGCAATCTCAAGTGCATAATTGTATATTAACCAATAATCTGGATAGTAGGAAATTAAATTTGCTTTTTCCCATGTGTCCTGTAGAAGATCATGCACACAAGGAAACGTCACCAGAACATGTTCCAGGACCTCAACAGGAAATTACATCACGCTGAGAAACAAGACAGAGAGTCCCCTGCTTCAGACAGCAAGGTAAATAATCCTACAGAAATCTATTTTACAGTGTACATACGGATTCACATACAGTTATTAGTTCTTTTTATTTAAGATAAATACAGTAGAAAATAAATGGTAGTCGCTAGGCTAGACAACATTAACCAAAAGAGAAAGAGAGAGACCATTCCAAGCCATGGAACATCTTTAATCAGATTCGTCATGCAGAAATGCTGAGTCTTTATTTACATAAGAGTATTGTTCTTGAAGAAAACTTGACCTCAGCAAACCACTGACCTCAGCTGTTAATTGCATTAACAGTCTTTTAAGATAGTTTAAATAATTATGATTTTTTTTCTTCTTCCTTACAGTCTGTGAGATGGAGTGTGTCCTCTGGAGGAAGTGACAAAACAAACCACAGCGTGAGTCCTATTACCCATACTGGTCTAACTTTCTGAATACACCTTTTAAGGCATTTTAAACAGGGTGTACTCTGCACTGCAACGCTCCACTAGCCCCCAGTATAACAGTTAATCCACATTACAGAATTATATTATGATTTTTAAGTTACCTTAAAGGTAGTTAGTTAATGGCTAGTCGATTGACAGTCGTTGGATTAAACAAGGAATACTACAATGAATGACCATTGGTCTGCCTATCAACCAGATTCACAATTTTCATAAAAATATAGGTCCAGCTTTATTGCATTGAACATACCGAATCCAATGTAGGTATATTGATGATACCAATACTCATGGCCTTCCTCTTTTCACCTCATCAGGACAAGCAGCAGCCACAGGTGGAGAGACCCTGGGATGGGGTCCAGAGGACGCAGCATTCGCCACCTGCCTGGGTGCGGAAGGACCTGGAGCCCCTGGCCGCGTCGCCCCTGCATATGCAGCAGGTGGAGTGGGAGAAGGCTGGAGCCACCATCTCAATGGTCAGCCAGGACATCATTGACCTGCAGACGGAGGTCTGAGAGGATGAGCATGAGATTGTTCCTTATAGTTCAACCTTGGTCACCTATTCTATTGGTTTGGGGAAAAGGAGAGCCATGGATCCACATGGATAGAGTAGAGGAAGCCAAGAACGAACAAGTGAAGAGAGGTGGGGGAAGAGAGAGCTGAGAGAGCGCTGAACCCAGAATCCATGTCTACAAACCCTCAACAAGAGAAAGATGGAGAGATGGAAGGAGGGAGGCTATTGTGTTGTGCTGTCAAGATTTTGTTTTCCAGCAAGGACTTGATAATGAGCAACACTAGAGAAGCAGTGTGATACTGACTGGCGGTGTCAGTTAGTGACGGATGGTTCCAAGGACTGGTTCTGGTTCTGTTCGTGGTCCGACCACAGAGGTTTCCTTTAATCTTCCGACTGGGCTCAGGAGAGGTGTGGTCAACATGGTTAACATGCGGTCAACATGGCCCTTCGACTCGTTTTAAAACGGTGGGTTTCACTCTACCCCGGGGCTCCAACCAAACTGAACAATGTACTCTTGTGTTTGTGGCCAAGGCATCTTCCAAGTTGGCTAGGACAAGGCAAGAAGAGCCGACTGGACTCCCTTCAGACTTGGGGTCTGACTCAATGCTGTGGTTTATGGACACATCCTTTCATTGCTGTGTTGTAGCTATTATTTTCTTGCTTCGCCTGGAAGTGCATCTAAAGAGCTTCAAAGACTCTTCCATGAGAACTCTCTTCTGAGACTATGATGCTTACACTGGAGACAAGGCTTGATCATGCTTACAGAGCAGAACATTATTATTATCATTATTGTTATTATTATTATCATTATCTTGTTATTATATCATTATCATTATTACCTGTATTATGTTTTATTGTTTTATCATCGATCTGAGTTTTCATCTTACTGTCCATGAATTTACAGTTTTTGGCACTGTACTCGATGTATCATTATTTGATTTGAATTGGAAACCCAAAAGGACTGCATAGCATTGGGACAGTCAGCGTGGTGGTGGGAACCCTGGTTCTGCCAGCATTCTGCCTCTGCAGCACATGACAGGCACCTGGAAGAACATCATGCTCTTTTACAGAAAGTGGTGGACAAAGACCATTAGATTCCCACCTACAGTTCATAATAAACAAGAGCCCCACTATTGCACCTCTTTTCCATCCTGCTACACACACAGCCTTGCAGAAAGAACTCTAGATCCCAGGACTATAAACTGTGAGGCACTTGCCAACGACATGACTTCACTTCCGCAGTGCCAGCTAATAAGGACTCCAAAACAACATCCTTGTGTTTTAAAACCATCAGTGTGAAACTAGTGCAATATGATGGGCGCTTGATGCTCAAGCTGGACGGATTTTTCTTAAGATGTTTCAAAACTATTTTATAATGTGTTCCTCATATTTACAGAGCAAATAGATACTTTATTGTATAACAAATATGTATTAGTAATGAAACACATTCATTCAATAGAGGTTTGGTTGTGTTCCGAGTGAAAGCGCAAGACTACAAATTATTTGGAGGTCTGTGATTAGTAGATTATTCTAATTCTAAAAAGCAGACGTTATAAAGAATTAATAATAGCCTATATGAATATATCTAAAAACTGTGCTTCAGGATAGCTGTTTTGACTCCATACCTCACGGTGTGGAGTAACTGAACCTCATGTCTTCTGTAATAGTGTGTTTTTTATAATCTTGTCAATATTGCACTACAGTATGTGCCAAAAATCTTTCCTGTCCCCTATTTCCTTCCTAGCCATAGCACCCCCCTCTTGTTGTAAATGTATAGTTTTGAGAGCACAAGATGAATGTGATTTTTTTCTAATAAAATAAAAACATATCTATATTACTACATGTGAGTTGTCCTTGTTGGTACCTGCAATTATGTTGGCAATGGCATGGTCTTATAACCTGAATAAATGTAATAATTTAGCTGGATCTGGCAACCCTTAGCCTGTATATTCACTCACCCCTACTAGAGCATGGCGATATGGACAAAGATCCATATTATGATACTGTATATTGACTGAATTATCATGATAACGATGATCGTTATCTCTAACCCCTACTACCAAATAGTTAAACTCTATAGCTCATTTGTATATGATATTTGGAAGGTTAAGGAAGTTTTCCTTTAGTTAACCACAAAACCAACACACCGTTTGGTCATCTACTACTTATATCACAGACCATCATCCACCATGTTCTGTGATGGTGCTTCAAGCTGAATTAGAATTGAGCTTCATTGTAACTGATCTAGTACTACTATATATGCCAAGCACCAGATCAAGTAATATCATAGAAATAGGACAATAGTGCAATAAGTAAGAGAGGTAACTAAATAAAATGGATGCTGATTTAGTTTGTCGCATAGCTTTTATAATCCTGTCAAACTACAGCCACAGGCATCAATTGGGTCCCTAAATATAGAACCAAGTCCCAGATAAAAAGGCAATCTGCAAGATGATAAAAGTGCGCCGCTTCACAGTTCTATTTTCATAAGAGATGTAAGCTTTGTGCCAAGTTGATGTGACCCATTCCAAATATCTGAAAATCAACACAGAATAAATGTACAGTATTATGTGGGAGAAGAAAAAATAGCATATTGACCTTTTTCCAAAATACAACCCAAATGTACTTTCCAGCTTTATCTAACTACAGTATTGCCACTTTCTGTTGTCTCCTCTTTGATATCTAAATTCCTGAATTCTGAGTTCATGAATTTTAATTGAACACATCTAATTCTGCTCTAAGGCATGAGAACGAATAGATTTGCATTATCAGTCTGTTGAGCACTGCTCATTTATATGAGGTTATCTGGAGAGCGAGCTGAGCTGGTTTGGTTGATAGCTCTCTGCTTTAGAGCCCTGTTCCATTGACCGAATTAAAGACATGGCTGATAATCAGTCTGGTGATAATGAGATTGGTGGTGATAAACTACTTGTCAAGGAACGTCCGGCTCCAACACATGATGCATCACTGAAGCCATTTGCCATTTCAAACAGGGTCTTCCGATATTGCGACCCTCTTAAAGTAATAGGTATTCAGCCATGCATATGAGCAATTGGTTTTGGTATAAGGACTGTGATGAGTGTGATTAGAAGGAGTCAGGCGCAGGAGGGTAAATCACCGAATACAGAGTTTATTCCGTCGTACACAGTTGCGCTGGATTGCGACCTCAAAATACAGGCACAGGGGAACAATCTACCCCGGCAATACAAGGTACGGGTAGCTCCAACAAAATACAGGCACAGGGGAAATATCTACCCCGGCAATACAAAGTACGGGTAGCTCCAACAAAATACAGGCACAGGGGAAATATCTACCCCGGCAATACAAGGTACGAGTAGCTCCACCGAGCTACACTCAACTCACATAAAACAATCACCCAAAAGGACAAGCGGGCAGAGGGAACAATTATACACTGACTAATGAGGGGATATGAACCAGGTGTGTGTAATTGACAAGACAAGACAAATGGAATTATGATATATGGAGCGGCAGTGGCTAGTAAGCCGGTGACGACGAACGCCGAAGCCTGCCCGAACAAGGAGGGGAGGCAGCCTCGGCGGAAGTCGTGACAAGGACAGAAATCAGAAACTGAACCAACGACTCTGGCATTCCTAGCACCATGCTCCTACTGTACCAACTGAGTCACACAGGACCAGGTGTTGTCTCCTGTCCCTGAGACCACAACAACAGACAACAACAATGAAATCCTGATGCGACATCATGCTTGTCATCACCATCAATGCCCCACTGCTAATAACATCCTAAAGCCCTCAGATGCCACTCCACTGTTCCTTCCTTCCCTCTATTCTTGTGCTATCCAGTATCAATTAGCACCTCTCTGGCAATAACAGCGGGATCCGGGGGGCTGTCACTTAATTGAAGGCGGTTGCCATGGAAACTGCAGCTGGTGTCCAAAATCGCACCCTATTGCCTTTATAGTACACTACTTTTGACCAGAGCCCTATGGGCCCTGGTCAAAAGTAGTGCACTATATAGGGAATAGGGTACCATTTGTGATGTAAGCAGAGACAGCTATGGTGGTGGCTCCCGGAGGCTTTTAGCGGAGCGGAGAGTGGAGGAGAGGAGACACTACTGGTTCTTTCTGCAGGCAATCATGTTCCTGCCTAATGATTGTCAGCACTAATAATGTAATGAGATTGTCAAGTGTAAAACAGCAATGTCCTCTGAAGATGGCTCTAGTCTGTATTGCGTTTGGCTCCTTCTGGTGCTTTACATTGTCTCCCATAATCACTTCTACCTGGACAGGCACTCTGTAGACTTGAGAGGAAAATGAAAAGAAATAGCGGTAGCACTTTACTGTAGGCCCCCTATGTATGCATTCATAAGACCTTTGTAACAGCTACATAAGATATTATAACATCTGACATAGCCAGTCATAAACATTATGAACATGGCCTCTAAACCTTCAAGCTGCATACTGGACCCTATTCCAACTAAACTACTGAAAGAGCTACTTCCTGTGCTTGGCACTCCAATGTTGAACATAATAAATTGCTCCCTATCCACTGGATGTGTACCAAACTCACTAAAAGTGGCAGTAATAAGGCCTCTCTTGAAAAAGCAAAACCTTGACCCAGAAAATGTAAAATGCTATCGGCCTATATCGAATCTCCCATTCCTCTCAAAGATTTTAGAAAAAGCTATTGTGCAGAAACTCACTGGCTTCCTGAAGACAAAAAATAAATACGAAACGCTTCAGTCGGTTTCGACCCCATCATAGCGCTGAGACTGCACTCATGAAGGTAGTAAATTACCTTTTAATGGTGTCAGACCAAGGCTCTCCATCTGTCCTCGTGCTCCTAGACCTTAGTGCTGCTTTTGACACCATCGATCACCACATTCTTTTGGAGAGATTGGAAACCTTAATTGGTCTACACCAGGGTTCTTCAATTCTGGTCCTGGAGGGCCGAAACACTTCTGTTTTTTATTTCTACCTGGTAGTTAATTGCACTCACCTGGTGTCCCAGGTCTGAATTAGCCCCTGATTAGAAGGAGAGGATGAAAAACAGAGGTGTTTCGGCCCTCTAGGACCGGAATTGAAGAACCCTGGTCTACACTGACAAGTTTTTGCCTAGTTTAGATCTTATCTGTCGGAAAGATATCAGTTCGTCTCTGTGGATGGTTTGTCCTCTGACAAATCAATTGTACGTTTTGGTGTTCCTCAAGGTTCCGTTTTAGGACCACTATTGTTTTCACTATATATTTTACCTCTTGGTGATATCATTCGGAAACACAATGTTAACTTTCATTGCTATGTGGACGACACATAGCTCTACATTTCGATGAAACATGGTGAAGCCCCAAAATTGCCTACCCTGGAGCCTGTGTTTCAGACATAAGGAAGTGGATGGTGGCAAATGTTTTACTTTTAAACTCGGACAAAACAGGGATGCTAGTTCTAGGTCCCAAGAAACAAAGAGATATTCTGTTGGATCTGACAATTAATCTTGATGGTTGTACAGTCGTCTCAAAAAAAATTGTGAAGGACCTCGGCGTTACTCTGGACCCTGATCTCTCTTTTGACGAACATATCAAGAATATTTCAAGGACAGCTTTTTTCCATCTTCGTAACATTGCAAAAATCAGAAACTTTTTGTCCAAAAATGATGCAGAAAAGCTAATCCATGCTTTGTCACTCCTAGATTAGACTACAGCAATGCTCTACTCTCCGGCTACCCGGATAAAGCACTAAATCAACTTCAGTTAGTGCTAAACACGACTGCTAGAATCTTGACTAGAACCAAACAATTTGATCATATTACTCCAGTGCTAGCCT